TCCCTTTGTTAAAAGGAAAAATGGCCAGATATGTGGTTATATACTGATTCATGGATTGTGGCCTATAGTTTGGCTGGACAGTTAGGGACTTGGAAGGGACATGACTGGAAAATTAATAACAAGAAAATTTAGAGAAGAAGCATATAGATAGACTTACCTGAATGGGCAAAAAATGTGAACATATCTGTGTTCCCTGTGACTACTAACCCAAGGATGATCTCAGCAGACAAAGACTTTAGTAATCAAGTAGATAAGAAGACCCATTCTGTAGATACCAGTTAGCCTCTTTCCCCAGCCGCCTCCATCACCAACTGATAAACTAATGAACAAAGGGGCCATGATGGCAGGGACAGTGGTTATACATGGGCTCAGCAGTCCACTAAAGCCAACCTGGCTACCATCACTGATGAATATTCAATTTATTAGTAGGAGAGACCAACACCTAATTCCCAATAAGGAACCATTCCCTGGAGTGATCAGCCAGCTACCAGGTGGCAGGATGATTACCTCGCACCACTTTCATCATGGAAGGGACAGCATTTTACTCTTACTGGAATAGACACTTACTTTGGATATGGATTTGCCTTTCATGCATGCAATGCTTCTGCCAAAACCACCATCCAAGGACTTAGAAAATGCTTTATCCACCTTCATGGTATCCCGAAGAACATTGCTTCTCATCAAGGAACTGACTTCACAGCAAAAGAAATGTGGCAAAAGGCCCAAGTTCATATAATTCACTGATATTTCCATGTTCCCCACAATTTTGAAGCAGCTGACTTGACAGAATAGTACAATGGCCTTTTGAAGACTTAGCTAGAGTACCAATTAGGCAGCAATATCTTGCAGGGCTGGGACACAGCTTCCTGTTCCCATGACTTTATGCTCAGCTGTCCTAGAGGTCTTAGTTCCAAAGGAAGGGATGCGTCCACCAACAGACACAACAATGATTCTATTGAACTGGAAGTTAAGACTGCCACTTGGCTGCTTTGGGCTCCTCAGGCCTCTGAATCAACAGACAAAGAAGAGAATTACTGTGCTGGTGGGGTGACTGATCCTGACTAGCAAGGCGAAATTTCCTCCACAATGGAGGCAAGGAAGAGTATGTCCAGAATACAAGAGATTCCTTAAGGCATCTCTTAGTATTACCATGCCCTGTGATTAAGGTCAGTGGAAAATTACGGCAACCCAATCCAAGCAGGACTAATGGCCTAGACCCTACTTAAATGAGGTATGTATCACCCTACGAGTTTAAGAACTATAACCAGCTGAGGTGCTTGCTGAGGAAGAAAAAAATATGAAATGGGTAGTGGAGGAAGGTAGTTATAAATACCAGTTATGTCCACATGACTAGTTGAAGCAAGTATCTTTGTTTTCTTCCCCCTCTTATTCCCATATCATCTAACATAAAATGTCTTAATAATAAATTCACTTTAATCATAACACTTGAGTTACAGGGTATCAAGAAGAAGAGCACCCCCCCCCCCCAAGGATTTTGGATCCTCTTCTGGGAAAGGAATTAGCACATTTTGGATTGTATGTAGGACAGGTACATTATGTTAGGCAGAAGTATGACTTTGTTACTGTCTTTATTTACAGATTAAATATGATTTAAGGAGATGTGTATGAACACATACTTGACATGAAGTAGACTGTGATGGTTTGTTGTATGTGTCAATTTGGTTAGGCTATATTACCCAATTATACTAAATAATAATTTTGGTATTGCTGTGAAGATAATTTGTAGATAAGTTTAATATCTATAATAACAGACTAATCTGATAAGAGATTATCCTTGATAATTGGGCCTCACCAATCAGTTGAAAGGCCTTAAGAGCAAAACCGAGGTTTCCCTGAGAAAGAAGAAATACTTCCTAAGGACTGCATCATCAGTTCCCACCCAAGAGTTTCCAGTCTGCCCTATAGTTTTCAGCCAGACCCTACAACTGCATAAGTCAATTCTTTGAAATACCTCTCTCTCTCTCTCTCTCTCTCTCTCTCTCTCTATATATATATATATATATATATATATATATCTGTATACATCTAGGTCTACGTGTGTACTTCTAACCTACTAGTTCTGCTTCTTTGGGAAAAACCTGACTGATATGTCATCTACTATTCCCTACCACCATGCTAATGTCATCAGAGACAGAGATAGAAAAAAGCCTATTATGGGGTCTCTGTCTTTGAAAACCTCATAACCTGAAGAATATGAAAAGTCAGCATTGTGAATTATGTGAGTTAGTAATATATTACTAAGCGTCAAATGAGTAGCACTGAATTAAAAAAAAGAAAAAGACTTCTGTGGATTTAGGGAGTGCTCAGAGCAGACTGTGTAGCAGAAATGGGGACAAGGATCAAAAGCAAGCAGTTTAGTTGGATTGAGGTTTTACATAACCTATTAAATTTCAATTGCTTCATTGCCTGCTTACTCATAAAATGTCCCCAGGCTCCAATGATTAATCAGACATTCTGTCTGATATACAGTCAGGAGAATACAGAAAAACCTAAATTTGGAGTTTAAAAAAACCTCGAGAGATTGAATTCTTCTCTACCACCCAATAGCAGTAAAATCTTGGACAAAATGCGTATTATTTTAAGTTCCATATTCTTTACATATAAAATGAGAATAATAATAAACATCTGTCTATTATAAAGCCATAGTAAGAAATAAATGAGATATAATACAAACTTAGCTCAGATCCTTTCACAGAGGAGGTGCTCAACCAATGGTAAGTGAATGTAAAAATATATGAAAAATATTTTCAGAAAGAATGCTACTAAAAGTGAAACCCTACTAGCAAACCAGATTCAACAATACATTAAAAGAATTACTCACCATGATCAAGTGGGATTTATTCCTGGGATGTAGGGCTGGTTCAATATCCACAAATCAATCAATGTGATACATCACATTAATAAAAGAAAGGATAAGAACCACATGATCCTCTCAATAGATGCAAAAAAAGCATTTGACAAAATACAGCATCCTTTCTTAATAAAAACCCTCAAGTAAGTAGGGATAGGAGGAACATACCTCAAGGTCATAAAGGCCATATATGAAAGACTCATAGCTAATATCATCCTCACTAGGGAAAAACTGCGAGCCTTCCCCCTAAGGTCAGGAAAATGACAGGGATGTCCACTCTTACCACTGTTACTCAACATAGTGTTGGAAGTTGTAGCCTCAGCAATCAGACAACACAAAGAAATAAAAGGCATCCAAATCATCAAGGAGGAAGTCAAACTTTCACTCTTTGCTGATGACATGATACTCTATGTGGAAAACCCAAAGACTCCACCAAAAAACTTCTAGAAATGATCCATGAATTCAGCAAAGTCACAGGATATAAAATCAATGTAGAGAATTTGGTTGCATTTCTACAAACCAACAACGAAGCAAAAGAAAGAGAAATCAAGGCATCAATTCCATTTACAACTGTACTAAAAACCATAAAACCCCTAGGAGTAAACCTAACCAAAGAGGTTAAAAATCTATACACTGAAAACTATAGAAAGCTTGTAAAAGAAATTGAAGAAGACACACACAAAAAAATGGAAAAACATTACATGCTCATGGAGTGGAAGAACAAATATTGTCAAAATGTCAGTACTACCCAAAGCAATCTACATATTCAATGCAACCCCTATCAAAATTACACCAGCATTCTTCACAGAGCTAGAACAAACGATTCTAAAATTTGTATGGAAACAGAAAAGACCCCAAATAGCCAAAGCAATGTTGAAAAAGAAATCCAAAGCTGGAGGCATCACAATTCTGGACTTCAAGCTATATTACAAAGCTGTAATCATCAAGACAGTATGGTACTGGCACAAAAACAAACACATAGATCAATTGAACAGAATAGAGAACCCAGAAATGGATCCACAAACATACAGCCAACTAATCTTCAACAAAGCAGGAAAGAATATCCAATGGAAAAAAGACAGTCTCTTCAACAAATGGTACTGGGAAAACAGGACAGCAACATGCATAAGAATAAACCTGGACCACTTTCTTACACTATACACAAAAATAAATTCAAAGTGGATGAAAGACCTAAGTGTGAGAAATGAAACCATCAAAATCCTAGAGGAGAAAACAGGCAGCAACCTCTCTGACCTCCACCAAGCAACTTCATACTAGATATGTTGCTAAAGGCAAGGGAAATAAAAGCAAACATGAACTACTGGGCCTTCATCAAGATAAGAAGCTTCTACACAGTGAAGGAAACAATCAGCAAAACTAAAAGGCAACCGATGGAATGGGAGAAGATATGTGCAAATGGCATATCACATAAAGGGTTAGTATCCAAAATCTATAAAGAACTTACCAAGCTGAACACCCCAAAAACAAATAATCCAGTGAAGAAATGGGCAGAAGACATGAATAGACACTTTTCCAAAGAAGACATCCAGATGGCTATCAAACACATGAAAAGATGCTCAACATCACTCATCATCAGGGAAATACAAATAAAAACCACAACAAGATACCACTTCACACCTGTCAGAATGGCTAAAATTAACAACTCAGGCAACAACAGATGTTGGCAATGCAGAGATGTGGAGAAAGAAGAACGCTTTTGCACTGCTGGTGGTAATGCAAACTAGTTCAGCCACTGTGAAAAACAGTATGGAGGTTCCTCAAAAAATCCAGCAATTGCACTAGTAGGTATTTATCCAAAGGATACAAAAATGCTGATTCAAAGGCACACATGCACCCCAATGTTTATAGCAGCGCTATCAACAATAGCCAAAGTATAGAAAGAACCCAAATGTCTATCAACTGATGAATGCATAAAGATGTGGTATATATTATACATATACAATGGAATACTACTTGGCGATCACAAAGAGTGGAATCTTGTCACTTGCAATTACGTGGATGGAATCAGAGTGTATTATGCTAAAAAAATAAGTCAGTCAGAGAAAGACAAATAGTGTATGATTTCACTCATATATGGAATTTAGGAAACAAAACAGATGAATATAGGGGAAGAGAAGCAAAAATAAGATAAAGACAGAGAGGGAGGCAAACCATAAGAGACTCTTAAGTAAAGAGAACAAACTGAGGTTACTGGCGGAGTGTTTGGTGGAGAATGAGCTAAGCGGGTGATGGACATTAAGGAGGGAACTTATTGGGAGAAGCAGTGGGTGTTATATGTAAGTGATGAATCAGTAAACTCTATTCCTGAAATCATTATTACTCTACATATTAACTAACTTGGATTTATATTAAACATGAATAAATAAATAAAAGTGAAACCCAATAACACTAAATTTCAAATAGTTGAAAACAGTATCCTAGATAAATATATTTAACTCAGTGGCATAAGCTAATTTTTCAAAAGATTAAGTATTTGACATTAAAAATTTTTTCTGGTCAGGTTCTGACACCGAACCAAACTTTTTATAATTTCACCATTTTCACTTTGTACAAGAGCTCTAAGAATACAATTTATAAGCAGACTTCCTGTGCGCATAAGGAATTTACCATGAAAGAATGTTTTATATCACCCAAAAAGTAGGCTCTGCATTCACACTATAGTACCTTGGGGAATATCTTTAGGTGGAGAATATTTCTTCTTCTTTACAACAACACCTTTACTTTTCACTTGTCTATTTCCTGGTGTTGCTCTAATAATACAACATATTTCTGATTTATTTGAAGGAAACTGAAAGAGAAAAAAGCAGGTAATGCATAATTCTTCCAGGTACTATATTCGTATGTAGTTTTACTTCAAAGGCAAATATTCTCAACATCCATATTTCATACTTATTAACTATAGAAAGCATTTATGAAATGCTTACTCCACTCCAGACACTAATGAATTGGTTTGAAAACATTTCCTTATTTAATAATCACCAGAAGCAGATAAGGCAGATTATATTTAACACTATTTGAAAATGAGAAACTTTTGTTAAAAGAATTTGGGTAACTTATTTAAGGACACAGAGAGAGTAATGATAGAGTTAAGATTCAAGCATTCCAAAGTGTGAGAGCAAGTCTATATAATTTACTGAATTAAAACATAAATTTAATTTAATTCTGAGCCAAACACTAGATTTCCTTGATTTCTCAACTCAATGAATTTTGACAGCTGCCCATCAAACAGACAAGACAGGCGCTAGATTAAAGTAACACACCTTACTTCTTAGAACTCAGAAGTAGAGATATGTATTTATCAAGGGCTCCTTACATTTTAGGTAAAGCTGATACAGAAACATCTTCTGCTGTAAAATTCATATCATCCTCTGTAGTGGATATCTGCTATTTTCCTGCCTAGCATCTTTTCCATTTTTCGGACTCTAAACAGTACCAGAGTTTTCTTGAAAGAATCTACTCATTCTCTTAGGCTGCACACCACCCTTTCCTTATGGCTCAGGTGGAATTGATAGTACTTCTGGGTACCAAGATGGCTGTAGGACCCAACCTAGCCAATCAACATATGTCATGCCCTGGGGGCACAGTGACTGGCTGAGACAAGAACATTGTAAATGGGCCAGCAGGAAGATGGAATTGCTGAACTTGAGACTCTGGCACTAAGCCAAAATCCTTGAGGGGACTAAAGTGGTCCTAGATTGATACTCAATCCTTGCTATAGCTGTTGTAGTAGAAACAGATATAAATCCTCTTAGGGATACACACACACACACACACACACACACACACACACACACACACACACATATACATATATATATATAATGGATGGGATCCATTGATAGGATTTTTATCAACTAAGAGCAAGGAAATAAATGATCAGGGTCAGTATCAGAGTTGTTCTTCAAGATTCAGCTCAGAATAGTTCCAAGCAGAAATAAGAGACAAAATATATTTGACCTTATCCTCTAATTTTATTATAGCAATAATGAAATACCAAACTCATGACAAATCAAGCTACCATATATAAGACTGTACAGTATCAAACAATGGGGTTAAACCTATAGAACATCAGATATCAGAACTGCCAAATCAGAATAGAATAACAATGTATGAAATTATTAAAGAATTAACAATAGAAATCTCATGGATGAGCAAGCAACAAGAGACTACAGGAGTGAAAAGTAGATTTGAGAAAGAAACAACTGGAATGTCTTGAAATGAAAAATAAAATTTTTGAAATGCAAAATTCAATGGAGGTCTTAAGGAGCAAAATAGACACAACTGAAGAATTAATGTTTATTTATTTTTGAGAGAGAGAGAGAATCCCAAGCAGGCCTTTCATTATCATTTCAGAGCCCAACGCAGGGCTTGAATCCATGCACCATGAGATCATGACCTGAACCAAAATCAAGAGTTGGATGCTTAACTGACTGGGCCACATAGGTACCCCAACAAATAAATGAGAAATATTAAATAGACTTTTAAAGATATGGAGGATAGAAAGATGCCTAACTTATGCCAGTTACCATTCCAGAGAGAATAAAACAGATAATAGCTGAGAAATTTCCCAAACTGATGAAAGACATGAGTACACATTCAGGAAGCCTAAAATTCTAAGCAACATTACAATAAAAAAACAAAAGCAAACACAATACTAATCTTTTTAAGTATACATCCCAGTGAAATTATAGCATACCCACAATAAGAAGTACTTTATAAAGTCCGGAAAGTTTAACTTTAAAAAGTCCCCAAGACCACCACAGGCTTAATGATTTGCCAAAAGGAATCACAAGATTCAGAAAAGCTGGTATATTCACAGTTATGGTTTATGATACAATAGAATACAAATTAAAATCCACAAAAGGAAAAGGCATATAGGGGGAGTCCAGGAGAAAAAGTATACAGAGCTCACAACAGGATGATAAGCTTCCAGTTGTCTCTCCTAGTTGAGTCACATGGATGGTGTTTAATTTTCCCAAGTGCAAAGTGTTGCCAACATCAGAAGCCCAGTAAACTTTGACTCAGATCCCAGTCTCCCAGAGGTCAAACTGATACAGAGGTAGCCCAAAGCCTCAGGTATCAAAAACAGGTATTTACCATAAATCACATTGTTAGCATAAACATCTGGCATGGATACTCAAAGGGGTGATAACTCTTACAAAGGACTCTTTAAATCTCAATAGTAAAAAACCCAACACAATTAAAAAACAGGCCAAAGGCTTTTCTAGACAGTACACCAAAGATATATAGATGGCAGGGCGCCTGGGTGGCTCAGTCGGTTAAGCGGCCGACTTTGACTCGGGTCATAATCTCACGGTCTGTGAGTTTGAGCCCCGCGTCGGGCTCTGTGCTGACAGCTCAGAGCCTGGAGCCTGTTTCGGATTCTGTGTCTCCCTCTCTCTGACCTCCCCCGTTCATGCTCTGTCTCTCTCTGTCTCAAAAATAAATAAATGTTAAAAAAAAATTAAAAAAAAAAAGATATATAGATGGCAAGTAAGCATTTTAAATGATGTTCCACATGACATTTTCTCATCAAGGAGTGCAAATTAAAACAATGAGATACTACTACACACCTATTAGAATGGCCAATATTGGGACACCTGGGTGGCTCAGTCGGTTGAGTATCCGACTTCAGCTCAGGTCATGATCTTGAGGTTCAGGAGTTCAAACCCCACATTGAGCTCTGTGCTGACAGCTCAGAGCCTGGAGCCTGCTTTGGATTCTGTGTCTACCTCTGTCTCTGTCGCTTCCCTGCTCATGTGCTCTCTCTCTCTCTCTCTCAAAAATAAAATTTTTAAAAAAGAGAAAAGAAAACAAGAAAGATTCCTATTAATGACCTCACCTTCTACCTTAAAAAAGTAAGAAAAGAAAACCAAATCCAAAGTAAGCAGACAAAAGAAAATAACATGAGAGGAGAAATCAATAAAATAGAAAATAGAAAAATAGAGAAAAATCAATAAACCAAACTTCTAGCCACATTAATGAGGAAAGAAAAAAAATAAAACACAAATTATCAATATCAGGAATGAAAAAGGCTATATCACTACAGATACCAACATATTAAAAGGATAACAAGGGAACACTATAAAGAACACTTGACAATAAATTTGACAACTTCTAAAAAATAGACAAATTCCTTGAAATACACAAACTACCAAAGTTCACTCAAGAAGAAATAGGTAAGTTGAATAACCCTAAAGAGATTTTTTTTAAATGTTTATTTCTGAGAGAGAGAAAGAGTGAGAGAGTACGCATGTGTGGGCACATACATGGCAAAGAGAGACGGAGACAGAGGATCTGAAGCTGGCTACAGGCTGAGAGCTGAGATCCAGATGTGGGGCTGGAATGTAGGAACCATGAGATCATGACCCAAGCCAAAGTCGGATGCTCAACCAACTGAGCCACCAGGCCCTAAAGAGATTTTTAACGGTAGCTTATTTCATTTAAAAAAAAAAAAAGAACTCCAGGTCTAGATGACTTCACTAGTGAACGCTACTAAACATTGAAGGCAGAAATACTAGTTCTTTTCGAGAAAACTGAAAATGAAGGAGTACTTTCCAACTTGTTCTATGAGGTTAGCATTACTCTGATGCCAAACTCAGACACAGACATCAATCAATCAATCAATCAATCAATCAATGAAACTAAAGACCCTCACCAACACTGATGGAAAAATTCTAAAAACATTTTCACAAATTAAATATATCAATATATAAAAATAAACATATACCAGGGGCACCTGGGTGGCTCAGTCATTTGAGCAGCCAACTTTGGCTTGGGTCATGATCTCACAGTTCATGGGTTCAAGCCCCACATCAGGCTCTATGCTGACAGCTCAGAGCCTGGAGCCTCCTTCCATTCTGTGTCTCCCTCTCTCTCTGCCCCTCCCCTGCTTGCGCTCTGTCTCTCTCTAAAATCAATATATTATACTCAATTCATAATCATCAACTCATCATATTAACAAACTAAAAAAGAAAAATTCTATTATCATCTTAATAACTAAAAAAAGTACATTTGGCAAAAATCCAGCATCCATTCCTGACAAAAACTCTTAAGTACATTAGGAAAAGGTGGGAACTTCCTCAACACAGGAAAAACTTATAGCTAAGATCATATTTAATGGTGAACTACTGAGTATTTTCCCTCAAAGTACAGAAACAAGGCAAGGATATCTGCTCTCCTCACT